CCCCTACTTATATGATGGAATTCCATCTCGATTTGTAAAAGTGTGCAAAAGTTTTGATTCGGTCCTCTTATGAAAATGGTTTAAGACCCCTGCTTTGGGACTTGGCGATGATACGACCACTGGAAGTAGCGTTAAAAACTTTCCGCCTATATTTCTACAAATCTATGACATGTAAAAAATCCCTGCATTTATGAGGATTCTTATTTTGCAAGGTCACTCGATAGCAAAGCAAACGACGTAGTCCGACATGTACATTTATCAAACTGAAATGAATGGAATCGTTTCATTAACTGCTGCTCGCCGCTCTGCCAGCCGTCAAACGTAAATGATGTCAGTAATTTTTGATCAAAACATCAAGGCTAAGGCTTCCTTTCACACAGGTGAATACCTCTAGGAGAACTCAGATCCCCAGAAAATGTATATACTCTGGTGGCAACTTTGAACGTTTAATTTGACGCAATGCCAGAATCCCTAACTGTTTGAGTTTCATACGGCCACCCAACCAATGTCCGACTGATATTGTAATTCAAAAAGTGTATGGAAAAAGTGTTAACCCCGGGTCCAGGATACGCCAAACACATTCCTCCTCAAATCGAACGTTGTTTGTTTGAACTGATCGACTCACTAGTGCCAGCGCAAATTGGTTTGCCTATCACATGGCTCCGAAGAAAGCTGCGAAGCCTGCTCCGAAGGCGGCAGAGGCCAAGAAGGCGGAAGCTAAACCAGCAGACAATGCAAAGAAGGAAAAAAAGCCCGTAAAGCCGGCTAAGGCCACTAGCAAAGCACTGACCTCAGTGAAGGGCGGCAAAATTTCCAAGCCTGCGGTTAAAAGTAAGTGTTCTCGTCCAAATTAACTTAGTGACAGGGAAACCGATTGTCGCTCAAGCTCTCAAGGCCCAGCGCGCTATCACCATCGGAGTTCATACTAAGGGCAAGCGAAAGGTTATGAAGACTGTCCGGTTCAAGCGGCCGAAGACTTTCAAACCTCCACGCTGTCCTAAGGATCGCCGTTTTGAAATACCGAAACGAAACAAGTGAGTAGTACTTTTGAATTAACTTTCAAGGCTTGATGCTTTCCGCATCATCCAGCATCCAGTCACGACTGAGGCCGCAATGAAGAAAATCGAGGACAACGACACTTTGGTGTTCGTGGTCGACAGGCGGGCCAACAAGCCTGCAATAAAGGCAGCGGTTCAGGAGATGTACCACATCAAGGTTGCAAAGGTGAATACTTTGAATTGCCCAAAGAACATTAAGAAGGCCTACGTCAAGCTGCCCCCGGATTACGACGCCCTAGACGTTGCTAACCGCATTGGCATAATATAAATAAAGGCAAATTTGTACAGGGAATGCTTTTTTAATGCCTGAAGAGACACTGTATGCGTCTATATACGGTCGTCCGTTGACCTGGAAACTTTGTACGTAGTGTACTTTAGACTTTATTCTGTGGACCTAACCCTACTCAATGCGCCCTGATACAGGTCTCATGTTATATTTCGTTACGGGTCAGCTATATTTTGCTACGCGGCCGTCCGATCCATTCCATCCTGCAGACCATGGTAAGCCCCAGGTCACTTTTGTCTTTGTTGTGGACATTCGTACACACCTCTCGGTGACCTCACGAGTTCGTGTTAGTATCGTTATCCTTTTACCACCGGTTGTTGGCCAGCACAGTGACTGATAACGTCGACCTGGACACCACATCAGACAGCGGGTGATTTGTACTCAGGACTTCTGTAATACGCTTTGCCACATTGCGTTCATTTGTTTGATAGTGCTTGGTCGTCGTACTGGCGGTCGGGACCTACAGTTCGGCCCGATCAGGATCCCTTGTGTGTCCTGGTGGTCACATATTTGAACTCACCGAATGGATTCAACACAGGCATTTATCATACATCTTAGCCGGGCCAGTCTATTTTCTTACCGTGTCTGGAGAGCCTTCCCTTCGCCTCGAAATTGAGGTCTTACATTGCACCACAGTTACCATCAAGGCTCCGCGGCTTATCCGCAGGCAACTGTCAGTGACCGCGTAGAGGGAAGAAGCAGATTGACCATTTGAATTGAACTCTTACTGTCTGAGTTACCTTTTTCGGTAAAATTTAACTATTATTGGTGACCGGTTGCTGCGCGACCGTCCGTATGATGTCTATATTCGGGGGTACAAGGCATAACAGGAGTGCACGTTCCCATTCTTCGATCAGAAGAGACCGGTGAGCGCGTTCGTGTAACGCTAACTTACAATTTTGCGGCCGGTTACAAATGGACTGTTGGATGGGGATTCAGGAGATGTAAACCAGCGAAGTCCGATGGGCATGCTGGGTTTCGGTGCACTGTCCCATCAACTATATCTTCCTCATCCTACCATCTGGCGGTGTGATGTAGGACTGACAACTCAACACTCGAACTGCTTTTTAGGGGGATCGCAGCTGCCACCGGTGTTAGTAGCAGCGGCGGCTGTTGCCAAAATTGTTTATGCTGCTGTTGTGCCTGGGACACTCACTCTTGGTGCCTTTTAAGTGGACGTCGAACCGGCAGGGCACGTTCTGAAGCAGGCTTGTGGTAGACATCGGGGTCTCGCAACAGGAGCGACATGCGCCCACCCAGTTTTTGCACTGGTTACAGCTACCCGGCCAACTCCACATTTGAGTCACAGACACCGCAGAGTCGGGCGGACCGGCGTGGTCTGTTTGTTAGTTTTGATAGTGGCAGAGAGGGTTTGAGTTTAATTAGTTTGTTGGCGACTGTCCGGCACCGGATGATACGTTTTTATGCAGGGGGGTGGGAAATATCTCTTTGCCGCTGTTTTCAGGCCATCAGGACTTTTTGGGGTTGTGAGCCATTATACGCGCATTCTGGTCCGGAATATGATGGAGGCAACGGCACCCGGCGTGTCCCTCCACGTGTGTGTGTGTACATCGGACGATGGGGATCTCGGGACGGAGTGGTTCATATGCGGACGGGTCTTTAGCCACTATGCAGTGGGAGACCGTTGCAAGGGTAGAAAAAGTGTGTTGATTTCACCGCTGTGAGCCGCTTGTTAGTTACAAGTACTCTCATCCGTGATTTTAGAAGACATCTGGCACTTAATTTGCGGTTACGACCAAATCCAGACGTTCTTGTCAGTAACAGATTGCCGCATGATGCCGTGACCGGCAGTGAGAATGACATCAAGTTCTTTCAAGGCCTGTGCCACAGTTCGCACTGCCTTGTCCCACGGACATGATGTTCAAGGGCGTTGGTCATGTTCAGGATCCTGCCATAGGTTTTGGTGTAGCCGTCTCTACCCGCTTCGCCGCGCTTACTCCGATGAAAAAACCGCCTCTGACATCTCAATTGAAGACAAGGGGCTTGAACTGAAGCATTATCTAAACGCTAACCCCAGGTGACATTCAGGAGTCACCTCAAGGACTGTAGATCCGGCAAGACAGTTCCACTGACGGGTCGTCAAAGGATTCCCACCGCCCTAAGACAGTTTGGGCTGAACGCACGCAGGGCGATCTCATGCTCTCTGCGTCTTAACTCACATGAGCTCGGCAGTCCGAGGGCGTCCCAACACACGAGCTACTGGTCATCGGTAGAGCTGCTGTAGTGTAAGCCGCCTTTTCTTCGCACCTCTCCATCCCGATCAACTCTGTGTGTACTTCGATCCACAGGCCGGCAGGAATTAGTGCGGTTTTCAGCGGTGGCAGGAGTGCGTTGACTAGCGCTCCACTTTTTGACGAACCCCCGAATACAGGCGCAGTTGCCAACACCCCACTCGTCTTAATGGGTTATGCGCCTTATTTTGACTCCATCGGGACCCACCTGTGGTCGATCATGACTCACGATCGTGTGCCATCGGAATTCGTTGACTTGCTCCAAGCGCACCATCACAAAACAGTCATTATAGGTGACGAGGATGGTGACTTCCTACGTCAGGACCGCTCTCCCACTAATTATTTTCAGCTGTGCGGCAGATCTAGCTCGGCGAACCGCACTGGCGGGCCACCTTGGTGTCAGAATAGACCGTAGTGGGTACATTACAGGTTCGGACCCCACTGATGGCGTTTCGATGCTGACCAACTCTTTCATGATGATGTGACGTTGCATCACAGACATTTGCGGAAGCAGCTGAGGTGGGCCAAAAGTCGACTCCCCCAAAGCAGTGACTATAGCCTCAGGTTGTGCGATCCGAGGCACCCGTCTCGCCACGTTTGGCGATAAACTTCTTAAGCCAGTAGACGGCTTCTGCTGCCTTGAGTCAAACTCCCTATGAAGCGAGCAAGGCAAGTGTTAAATTTTCTGTCGGACCAACTAGGGGCCTGCGCGTCTTCGTCTGATTTTATCAAAACCTCCGGGGTCGGCGTGAGGTAGTCGGAATACCGAGCTGCGAGTATACGAAGCCTTTGCCAGTACAAGCACTCTGCATGGAGAAGGGACATGGATCGGGCGATCAGCAGACATCACTCCTCTGGATGTACCGATCGGATCTCGGACAAATGACCACAATCGCTCGCGAACAGAACCGATCGTTCTCGTCTCTTACCCTCTTCAATATTCCTTTCCATCACGAAACAAGTCTGATGCAGCGATAAGTCGCCATTTTTTGGTTCCCTGGGAGCGTTTGGCGTCATGTGGATTTCACCTGTTATCCAGGACTGCAGCATAGTCGTGTTGTCCCCAGCGATATTGGAAATGCAGCAGAGTGCGGCCAAATTGGGCTAAAAAAACTAAACTTGTGTTGGTCGCTGACACAGGCATTCCCATCTTCCGTGATTACCTCCCCTCTCTTGAGGTTGAGTACTTTTCGTTCATCACCGTAAGTAAAGGAGAGTCCGGAGCTTTCAGACTCGTACAGGAGTCCATCGTCAGAGGTGGCGGCAGCAGCAGAAGAACAACGACAGTTATAAGGCACGTAGGCCAATCATCGACCGACGGCGCAAGCCTGGAGGTAACTACACAGGGCTCTGTACGCCGGCGCCAGATCGCTAAATCGATTGACCGAGTTCTCATCCGAGGCCCAGGCTTCAATCAATTCTCGGCCTGTTTTAGTTCCGGCGTGGGCGACTATTTTGGTGGCTGCGAAGTTAAACTCGTGACCAATTTCGTAGGTGTGGGCGGCCACTTGTGATAATGCGTCGCCTCGTCACACAGCCAGCTTATGTTCGTGTCTGCGCGTTCCGATCATGCGCCCAGTCTGTCCTGTGTAGTTACAGAGACAATTTCGACACGGAATGCGATACACTACTCCAGATTGCTCATCAGGCTTTAACGGGTCTTTGATTTTCCTGAGTCTATTGTCATACCCAAAAACGTTTTATTCCAGGTACTCTCTATTACTGGCTGTTCAATTTCACCCTTTTTGATGAGGACCGCTTCAAACTACTCCGAGGCTAGTTGATGCACTTCCTTTGCTCTGGGTAACCTTTGTACATCACATGCTGTCTCCTACAAGTTAGCAAAGACAGGACAGCGGGTCCGTGACTTGATGGTGGGGCGGCGGACTACTTAACGCTCAGAGCTTGCTGAGGGTGTCGGGGGACATTACACATCTTACGATGCGGTCAGAATGGTGCCGAAGTCGATGGAACCCGCGGTATCGGGCTCCTGCAAAGTGTGCCATTGATGTGTCATTTTCAATTGGAGGATGCAATGCACACAACACTGGTTTGCGCTCAATTGGATGGATACAAAGCACTCATTGGACTCAGAGGGCATTCATTAGGATATTAGCGGAGTTCCTGCCGAAACGCCCTTATCATTTGCGTCACGGTGGTTGAAAAAAAATTCAGATTTTTAGCGATGACCGGATCGAGAATAGAGCGTAGCAGTGAGGATTTGAAGCACCAGCTGCAGCAGCAGAAGCGTTTACTTGTGCCTCTAACGGGTTTGTTAGTAACTATTCTTTCGACAGGTCGCTGGGTTTTCTTGCTAGAAGACTCTTGTTTGCGTAGAAGAGTACCAGAGCTCTAAGCCTCCTAGACACGCTGGTGAATTCGTCCATGATTGGCTCAGTTTATCTGTTTTTTTTTTTTGGAGTTTGACTACATTAGAAGAAACATACCATGTGAGGATGCACGCTCTTGCCCGGAGTCCTGGAAGTGCGAGGTCCCATTGGCAAAAATTCAACTACACATAGCCGTGTACTTATAACAAATAAGTAGCGGTTCAATTTCCTACTTAGAAAAGCTGAGGGCGAAAGCAAAAAGCACTGGTCAGAATGGTGACAATGGCGATGGTGGGGGTAGTTGTGTGTAATTCACGAAATCGATGGAACCCGCGGTATCGGGCTCCTGCAAAGTGTGCCATTGATGTGTCATTTTCAATTTGAGGATGCAATGCACACAACCCTGGTTTGCGCTCACTTGGATGGATACATTCATTAGTGGATTTAATGTTCAGGAAAGTTTAGTGTTCAGGAAAAGGACAAATACGACGCAAATACTGAACTTCAATAGCAACCACCCAATCAGTCACAAATGCAGTTGCGTAAGGGCGCTATACCGGCGTGTTGAGACGCACTGCAGTGAGCCGGAAGACCAGATTGCTGAATTACAATATCTTCGACGGATAATGAGAGCCAATGGTTACCCGCGCAACTTTGTCAACCAGTGCATACGAAAAGGACACCGGAGACCAAATCCAACCGGCCGCAAATTTTGGCGGGCTCTTCCGTACGGGAAGAACGTCTCGGACGCCGTCAGTCGTCTTCTCACTCCACTTGGAGTCGGGGTTGCACACAGGCCGGAAGTAACCATTAGGAGCCAAGTTATGAGGCCAAAAGACCCGCTGCCACGGCAGGAAACGTCTGGAGTCGTTTACCGGATCTGGTGTAGTTGCGGACAAGGCAACTATGTCGGAGAAACTTGGGAATTACTGCGTACGCGAATTGCCGAGCACGCAGCAGCAGTGAGGCGGGCAGACGCTAGCTCTCAGGTGGCGGCACACTCGACGGGACCCGGCCATAATTTCAAATTTCAAGAGGCCGAAATCCTCGCAAGGGGTGGCAACCGCGTGAGCCGCGAGCTGTTCGAGTCATGGTTCTCAGGCCCGCAATCCATCAACAAGCACAATGACCTCCCGGTACCATATTCCGTGCTGAGATTTTTCTTGAGTAGGGGAATCAGTCACGTGGGGAGGGCGCGGGCGAGCAAGTATCACAGTGACAGTGAGCCAATTTGCCGAGCAATCGTCACACCAGCATCCAGCACGGATGACGAAATCGCGACAATTAGCGACTCGGACTCGGACTGACAAGCCACCACCGCATCGATTACGGCCCCAGCGGTGATTACGAGAACTGTTACTTGCAGTGCGCATACGGTCCCACAGCAGCCACGTGCTATAAATACTGCACGCCCTGTGCCACCACCACCTTTATCTGCGAATGTCTCTGATGATGGATTTGAGTGAGAATCCGAAACGTCAGGCCAATGAATTTCTTGTTCCAGCGGTCGCATCTTCGTCTTCTGAAATGTTACCTGGAACTCGCCTGTTAGCTTTCATCAGCAGTAGTGGATTTCTTGCCGAAACGCCCTAATCATTTGCGTCATAGTGGTTGAAAAAATCCAGATTTGTAGCGATGACCGGATCGAGAATAGAGCGTACAAGTGAAGATTTGAAGCACCAGCGGCAGCAGCAGAAGCGTTTACTTGTGCCTCTAACGGGTTTGTCCGTAGCTATTCTTTCGACTGGTCGCTGGGTTTTTTTGCTAGAAGACTCTTGTTTGCGTAGAAGAGTACCGGAGTTCTGGGTCTCCTAGATACGCTGGTAAATTTGCGCATTATTGGCTCATTTTATCTGTTTTTTTTTGGAGTTTGACTACATTAGAAGAAACATGCCATGTGAGGATGCACGCCCTTACCCGGTGTCTTGGAAGTGCGAGGTCCCATTGGCAAAAATTCAACTACACGTAGCCGTGTACTTATAACAAATAAGTAACGTTTCAATTTCTTAGTTAGAAAATCTAAGGGTGGAAGCAAAAAGCACTGCTTAATCCTGATATTTTCATCAATTACTCCCTTCACTACAACGCCACACTGTGTTGTTGGATCAAAGCGAAGCTAGAGGACGCCATATACCCGCTCGGAGGCATGATCTATTCTGGGTCGCCGGGATTTTTCATTCATCCACGACGGGCCATAATTCACTACTTCATACGTGATAAAACATCTTACGAATGTCCAACCCCATTGCTCCACCTCGCTTCTACAACTACTTCCTATCGCATTTAGCACACAACTCCCCCCTCCCTTCTCGCCTTGTGGAGATTCCCAGATTGCTTTGTGCCTCATCGGGACAATCAGGAATTTAACAGGAACCCGTGGTGTAAAGTTGTCAGAGAATTCGGCTCAGGGCCAAATAATGTATACAAAAAAGGAAGCACTCGTGTTTTGTACGAAAAAAAAACGGAAATGACCAACATCACTATCATAAGCGTGCACAGGTTTGAAAAATAAGTCATTTGGTGGTGTGGGACGGCAGAAAGGAGGTTATTTATCACGATTGAGGGAAGTGAGGAGGGTAGAACACGTGGAATCACGTCAGAGCAGTGATTGAGAAGGAAGGACAGAGGCCGTTGACGCAAACATCTACTCGATGACAACTAGGAGGTCTCCGCCCTGCATTTTCATGCCCTTCTTCGCGAGGATTTTGGTGACCTTGCCGGCTTTCGGTGCAGCAACGACCGTCTCCATCTTCATGGCAGAGATGGTGGCCAGGGGTTGATTCTTTTCAACCGTCTGCCCCACTTCGACGCGAATGTTAATGATCTCACCGGTCATCGGGGCGCCCACAGAACCGATATTATCTTTATCCGCCTTCGGGTGGATTCCCTCTTCCTAGAAAAAAAAGAAAATTCACGCATTGAGTCTTGAATCTTTCCACCGAGCCCCTCCATCTAGCCCATCACGAAGGCACAGAGTGCGGGGGGGTTGAAAGTCAGTGACAGTACCTTAACAGCCTTCCTGTCTTGGATTTCGATGGTGCGCGGCTGACCATTCAACTCGAAGAAGACCTGTCGCTTTCCATCCGGCCCGATCTCTCCAACGGCAAGCACCTTGATGGTGAGGCACTTTCCGTCTTCCAATTCAACCTGTTAAATATTTTAAAAGTGGATAGATGGGAATGCGAGTAATCTTTCCCGGTCTCCATCTAGCAGAGTCTTTGTTGGTGGCTGGTTAACTTACGTCAAATTCCTTCCCGATGTCGGGCCCAATGAAGAATGCTCGCGTGTCGAGTTTGTCCACGGGGCCATACTGCTCTCGGAAAGCGGTGAAGTCATTAAACACCTAGAGGCGAAAAAAGCGGGGGGAGGCGGTCAACTAATGACAGAATATGGCCCGAAAGCGCATAGGGGGATGGGGGGAGGGGCTGCATCTCCACTTACAATACGGACGTAGATTTATTGTGAGTAGTAATTGTCTTTAAATAACTACTGATATGGCGAAACTGTTGTGTTCCTCGCGAGGTGCCAGCAGGTGACAGTGCTCGCAATGTCCCGTAGATCACGGCACACTGATCAGAAGGAGGTTATTTTTTACTGCGGCACGCTGGCTGCGCCTGCAATGTCGCCCCGCCGCCAAGCGAACGCGCCTCCTGGAGGGTACGACTGGGCCTGGCGTCTGCAACAGTGCACGCATTAATCAGGCCTGACTCTGTGCGGCAGGCTCGGCGGCGCCCGCGACACGCACGTCTTTCTGACTCACTGCTACGTGACTATTTGGGATAGTAAACATCAACCAGTTGCTGCAAACTAACCTTGGGATAGAGAGCTGCCGAGATAACCTCCTTGTCATCAAAGTCGCGCGAGAATTTCTCCTCGAGATTTTGTTTTACTTTGTTCAGATCCAGCGGTTTCATGGAGACGCCAGCTCGGTCCGTGAGGCGCTTTTTGCCCTTGAGGACCTTTAGTGAATAAGTGCAAAAATTCAAGCTACTTCGTGTTAGTGAGTAGTATTTTACAAATGGAACGAAAGGAGTCCACTAGGCACTCTAGCATATGCATGCATTAACCGTTCCTGAATGACAAACAGACCTTGGTAGAAAGGGGCTCTGGGAAGCCTCCATGAGGGAAGCCGACAACGCCTTCGAAGAATTCTACAACCGATTGCGGGAAGGATAGGTTTTCCGCGCGATCCAAAACGTCCTGGGCGCTTAGCTTGTTCTGGACCATGAACTGAGCCAAGTCACCAACGATCTTCGAGGACGGTGTTACCTTGTAAGGAAAAAGGCAAAGGCGACTATTTAAGTCACCAAAGAGGACTTCTTTTCCAAAGATGTGCACAAAATAGGGGGTTAGCGACCCACAGACAAACAACACTACAGCACTGTTCATCCATGGTTTCTTGAAAACCGACATCCTATTCAGCATCTCCGATAGCCTTGGGAAACTTCGCAAAAACAAAAGACAAAGACATTGTGCTTGCCAGACCGGATAAAGGTTCAGGAGTAGTACTGATGGATAGCATGGATTATGTGGCGAAACTAGAGGGAATACTATCTAATCTTTCCGCGTTTTCAAAATCCGAGAAAGATGAGGATAACACAGGCTGTCGAGGGTCTGTTGACGACTATTCTCAAAGATCTCTGCAAAGAAGGCCATTTGTCTATTAACGAGTATGAACGACTGAGGTCGGTGGGTACGACAATACCAAGAATGTACGGCCTTCCTAAAATCCACAAACAAGGGCTGCCTCTACGTCCAATCTTGGATATAAGGAATTCGCCCTATCACACTGTTGCAAAATGGTTAGTGGATAGACTGAAGCCACTGCAAGGCCATATGTATCCTCGAAGTTTGAAAGACTCCTTTGAGTTCGTCGAAGCTATCAAAAAATATTAACGTTGGCGGACGGAGGATGTTATCACTGGATGTATCATCGCTGTTAACCAACGTACCCGTGGCAGAAACAATAAACTATCTTTGTGATGTTATTCGTGATACGAACTACCCCATAGACATGCCTGTGAAAACGCTAAAAGAACTACTGACGCTTTGCACACAAAATGTTCATTGTCTGTACAATGGTCAACTATACAGGCAGGTAGATGGTGCGGAAATTGGATCACCGCTTGGACCGTTCCTTGCAAATGTTTTTTTATGGGCAAAGTCGAGAAAACAAGCTTGCAAGAGACCATTAATGGCCTCGTCTTCTACGGTCGGTACGTGTACGATACCTTCTGCCTGGCGGATGGTACCACCGATACCGAGGACCTTGTGCAAAAGTTCAGCAGTGCGCACCCCTCGCTAAATTTCACTTTAGAGTCCTAGGCAGATAATGAAATTGCGTTTCTCGATGTCCTTTTGCACAGGTAGGAGGATGGGTCTACCCAGTGCAGGGTGTTCCGAAAGAAAACCTGGACGAGAATCACCGAGTCAGTGCCGAGGAGGCAGTTCAGATTGTCTACCAGACACCAACGAGCTTCTCTAAAGGCCTCTGCCAACGGATTCTAGCAACGGCCGAGGCAGTGGCTATACGGCTAGCCAATCCAGTGCCATGCTGTCAGAAAACGCTGACACAAGCGCTCTCTCCACCGAGGCTAGCGCCAACCTCAAGTAATGACGACATGCCGCCTCAAATCCCTAATTACAGTGATTGGTACTCCGTATACTCAATCGAAGAACATCACTCAAAGACTCTTACCTCCCTCCCCTATCTCTGAAGACCAAACCCCGCCGACCTCGTCATGCGCGCGGCGTGGGGAAGATGAGTGTTAATGATTTAATGGCCCTTGAAACACCTAATAAACACCGTTAATTTTGTATATTTTCATTCCACCATGTAAGTTTATTGGCCTGACGAAGAATTAACAAAAACACGTGTTTGCCAACTTGACTTTTTAAGTTTGAAATCTCGCTGTCAGTATGGTCATAGCTCGCTAGTTTAGTGCTGACGGCGAATCGATAAAAGTGAGCCACCGTCCACTTTTATCTCCGTTGAGATTTTCCACAGGCGTGTGTCTCTGTCTATCACCCTCATACCAACCACGACAGAATTTGGGTCTTTTTTTCATGATCAGAGGGGACACGTGCGCTCCAGATGATCAAAATCTTCAGGGGCATCAGTCTGCACCTACCTTGATGATGTCACCGAGAAGCATGTTGGCCTCTGCGTACTTCTTCTTCACCTCCTCAAACTGGTCAGCCAGCCCAAGCGAAAAGGCCTGGAATTGGAGGTTGGTGTACTGGCCTCCGGGGATTTCGTTGATGTAGACGTCGGCGTTGCCTGTCTTCATGGTGACAGTGCATTCGAAGGGCCGATAGAGCGTGCGTGCCTGTTCCCAGTAGGCTGAATAGGCGAACAATGACTCTGGGTCCATCTTAGTGTCTCTGCAAACAGATGATCAAACTGTCAGTTGTCTGGGAGGAGACACAGGAGTCTGATTTGAAGGCCACACCCTCCATCTGTCGGGGTGCCCATGGGGGGGGGGAGGTTAGGAGGGGTGGTGTGTGACTGAGGTCCTGGCCTCGATTTCTCTCACACACACAGCGAAGAAGATGAGCATAGGCTCACTCCTGCAACAAACTGAAAGTGTTTTGGGAGGTAACGAGGGACAAGAGGCCGTAAAAGTGGACGCACATGGTCGTTGAGTGTCCTTACTAGTGTGTGGGTTCCGTAAGAACGATCGGTGAGCGCCCCTCCTACCAGTGTATATACCCGATCGAAAGCGACCGGGAAACGAGCCGTGGCTCAGTGGTTAGATGCATTGGGCTTTTAACTAACAGGTCGCTGGATCGAATCCCAGATGTTCCACACGTCAGGGTTGCGTATGACCTTCGTTTAAATGGGTTTAAATTGTTTTGCTGTTTGGAAAATTTTACGTGATAGCACATAAATGACCACCACCGAATTGTCATTTCCAGTTTTGAACATATGAAACACTACTTGTCGTGTAGTTTAGTTTCTGCGCATACCTTATTCAGAAATAGAACAAGCAAAACATTAATAGTTTCGGCAACATGTCAGTATTTATATGGGCGTTCTGTCGCGCATTCATAATCGAAGGACGGAGTCTTAAAGCGAGCGAAAACAGTGCAAATGACCGCAATAAATAGAAAAAGGCATGCTCTTACGTTTACGTTTGAAAGATATTAGTATTGTTTAGGAACGTTAAAGAAACGGCCAAAAGTGTCAAATTTTTTCTTGTCCCCACCATGCAAAAATGCAAAGTACGCAGAAATCCGTCAATGAAGTGCAGTATTAAAGCACTTCTTACGGAGGTAACTTATTAAGAAAGGTTTACTTATTGATCGAAGGCATATTCGTTGCTGACTTTCGTTGTGGACAGCCATTTTTTTCGAAAAGGAAGTTTGATGTTTTAATGAGTCCTCACATGTGATCTAAACTGACGTCTTCGTGAAAAAAGTGCCCAAACACTCACGAATTCGGTAACTGTCTTCAAGGATAATCTTATTTAAAAGTTTTTGACAGACAGGTAATTCAGAATCTGTCTATGGACGATCGGGTGAAAACACTGAAAATGGGTATTTCAAACAACGCACCAGGACTTTTAATATTTCTTTTATGTATTTGATTCTTTCAAACTTGTACTTAATTAACATAGACATTGGATTCAAGAAATGGTGTCGGTTTGAGAGTGATTGGCAATCATTCGTAAATTTCGAGACCTTTCATGAGTTGGGTCACGCACTGTATGTGACAAGTGCCTGGCCCGTGCCTGCGGTGTGTGTGATGTCGGACGTGTTTGTGTGGGCAAATGTGTGGTGGTGGTATGTTTTAGTCTGAGATGGATTACCACAGGTTTTACTGGAGGCGCATGTGACCGAGTAAGCCCATGCGGTGGCCGAGTGTGCGTGGGCAATGCCGTCAGTTGAGGCGATAGCGACGAGCGCATGCTGGGTGCGCCAGACGCTGATCTGCCAGTCTCTGTGCGATGGATTCGCAAGTGACCGATCAGGCTGATTCGTGATGGACATGGTGGGTTGGTGAGGCTGCAGTCTCGGTTGCAATGATGATGATGATGATGATGATGATGATGATGCTGCTGCTGCTGCTGCTGGTGGTGGTGGTGGTGGCGGCCTCCTCACACACTCTGACTCATTCAAAAATGAGTCCACCAATATACGCACGATCGCCCTATTGCCAGTAGGCATGTGCAAAGTAGGACTGTCATGGGCAGCGCCCTCCACCGATATATGAACTGTAGTGAAAAAAGGCAGACCCAGAGTGGCGACGGGTACGTACAGAGGCGTATTCTGGAGAGCCGCCACGATTGCCCCCATGCTCGGCTGGCTGGTGATTCCGGACATGGAGTCGATTGCAACGTCCACGACATCGCAGCCGGCCTCGGCAGCAGCGATCATGCTGGCCACACTGGCACCGGCTGTGTCATGGGAATGCAGGTGGATGGGAAGATCAGGATAGCGGTCGCGGATCGCGGAGACGAGCAGTTTCGCCGCTTGCGGCTTGATCACGCCTGGAATGTGTAGAACAGTGGGACGATAAGTGAGTGAATGTTGGCTTGACAATAAGGGGGACGAATCGGCACAAAAACTGAAACAACGAGATTTCAAAACTACGGCATGTACCGGCCATGTCTTTAATTGCCAGAACGTGGGTTCCCGCCTTTACAATCTGGTCCACAAGGTCAAGGTAGTACTTGAGGTTGTATTTTGGCCGTTTTGGATCACAGATGTCACCGGTGTAGCAGATTGAGGCCTCGATGACGCCACCAGCTTTGCCGACCGCATCCATGCCGACAAAGAGGTTGGGAAGGTAATTCAGACTGTCGAAGACGCGGAAGACGTCCATGCCGGACTTCACAGCCAGGTCACAGAACCTGTCAACGGAAGGATCAGTGTTTATGAGCTGACCAATAAAGAGCGCGAATGCACTCAGCTGACTAAATTAAATCGCATCCAAATCAGTTGGTCCTAACAAGAGGGGAAAAGTGCCAGAATGGAGGTCAATGGCTTGTAGTGGACAGCCATAATGGCTGCGTCGCGCCTCTCGCTAGCGCCTGCACCTACGTCCTAGCGACAGCCTGCTATGATACGCACGTCTGCTCGACTTCGATTTGTCTCGTTGCAATTCACTGTCTGCGCCACACACCTGGTCGATTCTCTGCCTGCACCATGCGAGGTTTGTTAATACCTTCACGTGGGCTCGGAGCCAATCAACGCAACTCTTATCGCTGATTGGTAAGACAGGCGGGAACAGTCCAGAACAATAGAGTAAACAATCTGCAGCGACACTCTTGCAGCGGCGACGCAGGGCTCGTCGCTCTCGCGGACGCCGCCTCCGCGGCGCCGGACGCATCCTCGTCCGGTTGTCGATTCTCCCCTTCACTATTCTGTACAGAATAAAGTGCTCTAACCAAATGGCATCCTGGTTCTAACAATTTGGGATATGGCCTGAAGCTGTGGCGTACTGAGCGTACACCATCACCGCTTACCCGCTACAGGCTTACCGCCTGCGCACTAAAATGCACAGACGGCTCTCGACTATCAAGACATTTTTGTTTCGGTAGCAAATTAAGTGTGACATGTACTCGGACTAGGACCGAATCTACTAAGCCCGTTGCCGCACGGTCAGATCAATGCGAAACGCGCTATGGACGATAGGAAACCCAGATAGTCCGCGGAAAGTCAGTTGATAGGACAACGGACCTGCAGTTCAGTGGTTAGAGCGTTGAACTCTTTTAACCTGCAGGTCAGGAGTTCTAGCCTCGGGGTTGGATGGGACTGGCTGATGACGGATAACCAGCCAGAAAGGGGCCACCCAAGTCTCCCCATTCTGGCAGACGGTTACTGCAAACCCCGATTCATTGAGATAAGCCTCTGTATTATCTGTCAACAAGATCCACAATCCGTACGAGTCACAAAGCCCAAGATTTTTGTCTACATCCACCGCTGGTTAGCTACAGAGCACTGCCGATCACAGACACCACAAAAAGATTGTTCCGGAGCAAACTGAACGTACCTGTATACGATATTGTCCGGGTAGTTTGTGTAGCCAACTGCATTGGCGCCACGCAAAAGCATTTGGAAGGGAATATTCGGAATCAGTTCGCGCAGTTTTTCGAGCCGTTCCCACGGACACTCGTGTAGGAAGCGCATGCTAGAATCAAATGTGGCGCCTGTCGGAATGGGGTAAAAAAGTGCAGATTTTGAACGTCTTAGACATAAACCGGTGGCTGCAATTTATTTGCAGGCGGATACACGCCAACCTACCGCCCCAGTTTTCCAGGCTGAAAAATTGTGGCAGCTTTTGGGAAACGAACGGAGCAATGCGAAGGAGGTCGTGCGTCCGAACTCTTGTGGCCAGTAAGGATTGATGCGCATCCCGCATTGTGGTGTCCATTAGCAAAAGGCCCTTATGTTCGCGGACGGCTTTTGCGAAACCCTCGGGACCCTTTTCTCTGAGAATCTCCTTGAATCCTCGGGGAGCTGGCTTGTTGTTTTCGATTGGAGGAACAGTTGGAGTGACCTCGGCAGGTTTTAGTGGGGTGCCCAATGGAGTGGAGGGACCGTTGACCATCACCTCACCTAAATCAAAAAGATATGTTTACTTAATTCAATAAAGTAGGCGTGTTTAGTTTTTAAAACAAGGTTCGCTTGGAGTAGCACATACCGAGGTATTTGAGGAGTTTTTGAGCCCGATTCTTGGGCGGCGTTATCCGCAGGACCTCGGGATGTTTAGAGATAAATGAGGTGTCCACAGCGCCGGTAAGGAATTCCTCTTTTTTGAGAACATTTTCCAGGAATGGGATGTTTGTCTACAAAGATACGAACGGTTTGTTGCAGGTGAAAAAAATAAGCCGGGAAACAGAAGGCGTCGGTACCTATAAAGACGTCTCAGGTCTGGAGCCCTTATATACGGTTACGATCTTAGTTTATTTAATATGTCGTAATCATGTCTTGCTTGATCTTGCTCTACGAATGATCTGGTTGCAACAGTGCGTCCGGTAACCGCGATCCTTGGCCTTGACAACGACGCACACCGAGAGCCCGAGAACCGTCTTGTCTAACAGAGCGCCTCGGTTTTAAGACCATGCTTTGGGGGTTCTTCTTTGATTTTTATCAGAATACAAATTTTTTACTGCTACTGAAACATCGCATAACAAGCAAGAAGCATTCTGTGAACAACGTAAGCTCGACCGGTGATTATCCTCTTTGCTCATTTTGCAGGTATGCACTTGAGGTTCTCTGAGCTGTCACCTAACCCGCAGTAGGCCATGTGGAATGCCTTCAGGTGATCAGGGATAGATCTCAGAAGCAGTGTCGGCGACTTCGTTTCGTCGGAGACGGTTGTAGTGACAGTTAAATAGGTCTCCTTCGTTTTTTCCACAAAAAGCGTAATTGCGGCTCTGACACCGGGTAGTGATCCCCTTTCCCAGTTAGCATCCAAAGATCTTACAGAGCCACGGTGGTAGAACGCCTCCACGATACCTACAGATTTCATCAGGACGACTGTGCTCACACTCTCCTCTCGTCGGACCAGATTCATAAGACATTTCGCAAGTCAGCAAAGAGGTCTGTTTTGAAGGAGATTGTGAGAGAATGGCTAGGCGGTGACCGAGGTTGCCCTCACCGAGGCCGGATCTTGGCTCCAGTTAGTGCTTCCATTAGAAGTATGGTAAATCAATCAGTAATTATTTGTAAAACAGACGGGGTCAGATGACGCAGGTAGTCAAACAGTGCTATAGGGAGCAAGGTAGCAATGGTTTCAAGTGACGCCCACGCATGATTTCTTTTCGTTGGATCCTCCCGGGTGACTCTGTGCGCAAGGAGCAGTTGGTGTATCATACGCCTCAGTTATCGCCCAGGAAACTGTAGAACTCCTGTCATAGATGAGAGGGAGAGAGAGGCGTACACTGTCGCCTACATCAATGATCCAAAGTGCATAAGAAAATCCTGTTTCTGTTTGAAAGACCCGAGTTGTGTAGAGAAACCGGATCAAAATTCTCATTGCCAGAGATCGGCAAGTCTTCGAAGTGAATCTTTTGAACGGCTTGTTCGTTTCGGAAAAAACTGCTAAACTGACTGTTAATACGGAAGCATTATGGCTATTCATAAGAGCACCAGGCTTTCAAAGCCTCAACATCTTGACAGTATATCATCCCCGAGAAATGATCCCAAGGGTGACGTCCAACTGCTAAACGAGCTTAGATTATTTTCTAAGCGACCAAATACTCTCATCGTTGGGGACTTTAATGCACCTCACATCGACTGGAGCTCGGTCTCCACCGACTGCTCTGAAACGGCATTTGACCAGAAGCTACTGCTTACTGCCAGCAATCTGCTTCTCACCTAACACATAATGCTTTCGACGAGAGTTCGTGAGGGCCAGCAAACAAACTGTCTCACTAAGTCGTCTGATGACATCGAAGTTGTGAATTGCCCCCCCCCACCATTAGATCAGAGTGACCATGTAGTTCTCCTGTGGGAATAAACCTTATTTTTCCTGCCTACACAACCGCAAGATTCCCCGCCCAATATCTGGCGCGAAGATTTCGCACAGGTGAAAAAGGATCTTCATCCTATCGATTGGGCATCCACACTCTCCAGCACTCGCCTATATTTCCCGCAGGAAGACCGAACTACTCATACTGTAAGGCAAAGCCGTGTACGATAATGGTATTGTGACCTTCTATAGGGGCTAAATATGGTGCATCGCCCAACCGGTTAACCACCCGGCCAGTAAGTCCGAATTTCCGGGCTTAACACCAGTTCGTCGTGGCAAGTTTTGAGTCTTACGCTAACATACCAGTCGAACAAAGGGTATTAAGGGTTAAAAGCTAATCGGTATTTCGGGGCTTTCTGTTGGGACTAGTGCGCGATAGCGGAAAATGACGCATAAATATTGATAACAAAGGACAAGCTGGTGACTCACCCGAACACCGCGGATTCTGAATTCTTTGAGGGCCCGCTGCATCTTGAGGGCGCTGTTAGCGAAGGTGTCTGCATGTGTGATTAGCTTTACGATCAGAGAGTCATAGAAGGGCAATATCACACCACCAGCGCCTGCAAACGCCGAATCAACACGGACGCCCATACCTTCGGCACCGCGATAGACCTTAATGGGCGGTAATTTAATATGACATTAGCACCTACTTACAAAATTGAAGTAGAACATTTTTTTTACAATTTACAGAGATGGCACCTACAGAAAAAGGCAAAAAACACCTGGCAGCTGGTCCACATGATCGTGACTGTCTCGTCACAAAGTTCGCGTTTGATGTCCGCGAGGTCAAATAAGACAAAGCAGTCGATAAACCAATGAGGTGTAGCGCCCCAAACGCGTATACGCCTTTGGCCTCTGGCAGTCACACCGCACTAGGAATCATGTGATCGCTGTTCCCGCGAGGCCAGCACAAGCGTTCATGCGGTTTTTGGGACGGCCAGTCACAGACGCCAAATCAACTGATAAAGCTGACACCGTCCGACTCACGCGCGACGTTTATGCATCCACACCCACATTACCCTAGCAGACTGACGAGCGCGCGCTCCCACGCAGACGTTCGATGAAGGCACTTAACTAAAACTTATAAAGCAATCTTACTTAAATGCAGGGAGTAGTATACATAGAAACGTATATCGTTCACACCTACATTTCCCTGACAGGCAGACGTGCGCGCCGGCACAGAACAGGCCGCGCGCGTGAAGAGTCCTGACCACCACGGGGTTTCTGTGCAGAATGCGCGATTTCTACCGGTGTCCTCTTCCTTCTCCTCCAAGATGGAACTCGGCCGTGACTATTGTCGTGCTCAGAGTACATTTACCACACAAATGCTGAAGAAGCAAACTGGTAATCGCAGTCTTTATGGCCGGCAAGGATAAAGTATATGCCCGGGGTCAGAAAAATGTAACTGGTGGAGCCTTTCCTATGGGAATTGTGGTAACAGGGGTTATACGGGTTTGGCCTCATGGAAACGCACTGGAGCCGTCATAAAAGGAGCCTACTCGGAGTGGGCCCCCAGTGCGGCAGAGCGATAGTGGCCCACGGGGACAAGGTAAAGTACCGCCTTTGATTTAGGCTGAACATCGCGGACCCGAAGGAGGCATTAGGGAACCTTCTATCCCATATTACGTACGTAAAGAAGTAGCTCGTGTCGTAGTATTCTCCGTTGAGAACCCTGACATGACAGCAATGTCGGCGGTGGAAATATGCATAGGAAGACGCCGCTTGCATCCCCTCAGCTACGGCTGCATAACCACATCTTACTAAATTACTTGGAGGCGCAGAAAAATGAGACCATATCGACACTTTTGCAGCACCGAATAGTCGGGATGGTTTAGTTCAAAGAATGTCGTCCTGTCGGGTTTAGAGTCGTCGAAGAGCGCGACTGCATTTCGACCAAAGCCCTACCAAACAACACCTACGTAGATAAATCCGGTAGGCAGTTTAAAATAGCATAATCCTTGGTCAGACGGGCATAGGCAAAAGCGCAGTTAAACAGGACAGGGATGTCTTGCATGCGATGCTCGGTATTTCACGGTATTAAAAATCTCACAATTACAAACTTTTTAAAAACAGAATTCTACCCTTCCTTCGAGCATAAAATTGGAAGAAGACGTAATTTCCTACTAAATATGCAAACGAATGAATATTTTATGCATTTTTTCCATGGAATATAACTGAATTTTTAAAAGTATCGAAAATCAATGAGAAAATTGCATGTTATTTAAATAGTCATTTTTACGGAGTGTGGTTTTTGCATGCGGTCGAGAAGAAGTTCGTTCGAAAGCCGGAATCCTGACGTAACCGGATTATTATAGAATTATGCTTCATGATTAGTTTTACAACCCCACTTAATTAATCTTTTCGAAACGAAAACACATTTCGGCGTTTCGGTTGACATTTCATGTGTTAGCCCACCTACTGTATGTTTTGCATGCGATACTCCAGGCCTGACACCGGGGTGCAGAGCAATCGTATGCGATAAAACCAGAACTGACCAATAATCGGCCCGAGAAACTGAAGGGCTGAAACGCAGGACGGCAGAATGCGGACGCTGCCATTTCACAGGACCTGACTCCCACTCTTCGATCAAACTAAACCGGTCTTTTTATTAAATCACGATCTTTATGATATGCTACCGATCTTTCTGCATGCGGCCTCACGTCGGTCTTTATTCTTGCCAATTTTCTCGGTCTCGACTTTATAGAACCTGCACTCATCCATGTGAAACGGGATCAATATCACACATTAAAGAATCCTTATGCGTAAGGATAAATTGCTCGATCACAGCAAGACTATCTTTCTTGACCTTCTCACTGCATGGATGATGGCTTTATGCGCCTCCATGCCTCTTTCATAAAAGCCGTATTTTGCCCGCCATTTGCAATTTTCAGATGACACAACATGGACAGCTGCTGAGTTGTAGTTGAACGCTACATTCCGGGAGAAAAACATATCGAGGTGTCTCTTTTCCATCCAAATACTATTAGGGACAGAATCACAGTGGAAATTTCTTGGAGGACACTCATTAGCTATCATTCGGGCGAACCAATCGGAGTGAGTGCTGAGGACTTTAGGAATCCATGTATTCGTGGACATGATGTCACCTCTGATTTCTGTTTCGCAGGAGATTTTCAAACCAATGCGGTCTACGCATGACACCAACGGCGGAGGATGGTCAGTGGCAGAAAAATTACGTCCAACACCCCCTGACTAAGTTAACTGGTTCAAAAGTAGATCCTGTAAAGTATTACAACCGTCACGAAACCCTAGGTCACTGGCGCCAGTGCGAACAACTCTGGCTGGCTGCTAGCGTATTGTGAGCATGACGCGAACACTCAGCCTCCGCCCTCAGCAATCGGCACGTGCAAGATCAAGCCGGATAAGCGGAGTGTGCAAGGGTCAGTAGAGGTCAAATGTCGCCTGCAAAAGTCACGCAACTCAAGTCACGTGTTTTGGGCCTAAGAAAACAAGCGGTTTAAAATGACAATTTCCGGAGTATGCCGGCAGTAAGCACTGACCTCAATTTTGCCTAAATCTGGCTGGAAATTCTTTGTGGGGTCCTCAGTGGTCACTCGACACTGAATGGCGAAGCCGTTCGATTGGACGTTCTCCTGTTGCAGACCCAGGTCCTTCAGTGAGGCACCCTCGGCGACACGGATCTGTGTGCGAACTAGATCAACGCTGAAGGACAAATGGGGGGTGGGGGCGAAACGGGGTTTGGAGTGAGAAGTGGGATCAGTAGCTCCGGTTGGTTGGAGGGAGGGGGGTTTCTAACAGAGCCAGGTGGTTACTTACCCCGTGATCTCCTCAGACACGGTGTGTTCTACCTGTAGCCGTGCGTTCACCTCCATGAAGTAGTATTTGCCCGTATTCTGGTCCAGCAAAAACTCCACAGTTCCCGCATTCTCATAACTATTGGCATGTGAAGGAACAAAATGCAGAGATTGGATTATACGTGGACGTGGATACTACTGATAACATAATTTAAGCATCGTTCACAGGTTATCATCCGTTGCACATATTTTATGCCGAAAATGACGCATGGTAATATTAATAAGAATGAGGGTCAAAGGGTATGGTTTATGGCCGGGGTTATCTACGCCGGGGATCAATTGTGCTAGAAGGTAATGATTGGCGATATTTATTCGTACCTGCCAGAGAAAGAAATAAAAAGACCTCGAGGTGGCTTTTGCGTGAGAGTGGTCAAGGTGCTTTAAGGTAGTCGTCGGAGTTAAGTTACGAAAGTGCAATACCTTCTTGACAATGCCTGCAAAGGGGCATTGAATTCATTTACTATTGTCATGAAATAGGAAATTATGGTGTTTCCTCTTAATCGGTGACTATATGTGGGACCCAAAATTTGTGATACCACAAATTTTTTAGCTGTCCAGCAATTTTTTTTACCCCAAATGCTCCACAGAGTAAGTAAACCCGACCATAAATCATACCCTTGTTAAATGCTCTTTTAATACCATATGCTAGACATCATAAACAAAAAATCGGATTGACGCAGGGCCAGAGACAAGCTCCGGGCGCGAGGAAGAGGGAGTATTTTACCACTCAAAAGTTTGTAAATAGTCACTAACCCAGCAAACTTGGCGAGACGGACAGCTTCCGCCAGAATGCTCTCCCGAATTTTCGGGTCAAGGAAGGGTGCCGGAGCCATTTCAATGACCTTCTGGTGGCGGCGCTGCACGGAGCAGTCACGCTCGTAGAAGTGGGTCACGTTACCGTAGTGGTCACCTGAAACGGGGAATACATGGCTTTGATACGCTGGTCGGATGTGTAAGGCTCTCAAGAGTGAACGGGAGTCATTGTGGCAGTCCGGCTGTCCAAGACAATCATCGGTAAGGATTGATTATATGCACGGGGTAAGGAGAAACGATGCAGAACTACCCAATAAGATGGGCAGGGGTTTCTGACGGTCCTTTGTCGGCAGGATAGCATTTGCCGGCCCGAAGATTCGGTGTTGCTGAAATGACTGTATTGACTCAATATGCTGCAGCCCCACACACGTAAGAGGAAAATGAAGGTGTTTTCGGGCGGTTACACTCTTCGTTGCTCTAACTCAGGCAGGAATTTATACGTAAACCAGCAAAGATGGTGAATATGTTAAACGGCATTACTTGTATTTTTTATAATAATCTTACATATGCTGTCTACCTTCTCGCCCCGCGCCTCGTATTTACTTATTACCTCGTATGCTGATAAGTTTGTCATTATTCCTCACGACCTGCCCGAATTGCAACCACATGTCAATCAAAGCCCATTAGCCCCGTTGGCTACGTACTACATTGGAGGCTGACCACAGCTCAAATAGCCACTAGCGGTTTATTCAGTTTCATAGAAAGATTTTGAATAATCCATATTGACCCAACTGCGAAAAACTCGGCTCCTCGGTGGCATTCGAACCCACGCAGTAAGGGGGAGGCTTTAGTACAGCCAACGTTCTAACCAGTTGAGCTACGAGGTCCGCCGGACGATTAGAGTTTAATGACATTTGTGTCAATCTATGAATTACTTGAGTCCGGTAGTCATCTGGTGGATTCTAGGTGAACTACTTAGGAAATCCTTCCTGGGCAGTCAACTTACAGTAACAGATTTGGTGGATTCCAGACGTTGCAGTAGGTTGGGCGGGTAACTTGACTCAAATGTGATTAAACTCGAGTCGTCCGGCGGGGCCTCGTAGCTCAAGTTGTTAGAGCGTTGGCTGTACTAAAGCCTTCCCCTTACTGCGTGGGTTTGAATCCCACCGAGGGGCCAAGTTTTTCACAGATCGGTCAATATGAATTATTCAGTTTTCTCAATTATTCTGATCAATACATTATTTATTCTTCCTAGAATTAAACCGGTGTCTTCCGTCTACTACCCCACTGCAGACACAGCATCATGCCAGTTATTGACCTTTCTTCGACTTCAAACTTCCCACCTCCCAGCTGCCGGTTGTAAGCTCCACGTTAATAACACCATTTCCATAAGACGCGGTCCACCTGTCACTGGTTTCTTACCCCTCACACATACTTAGTCCTCCTCCAGTCAAACATCCAACAGATTGACCGTCGTCGCCAACAGCGTCCACCGTGTGCTCCACAGCAGGGTGATAACGGCGACGCTAACTTGCGCGTGAATGAGTCGAAGTAGACTTTCGCTGCGTCTAACGCACTCCCTCCCCCAATATCTGGGCCAGTTGTTCAGAGAGGGCCAAGAAGACTGGAGGCGGGAACAGTCGCAGGTGGCTGGCACTCTCGTACAAGTACCTCGGCGTCCACAATAAACACATGACCAGTAAGTGAACCAACAACGACCACGGGGCGAGGTGGGCGGGAAGGATCCCAATTGGCACGAAGTGGACCGCCAACTGTGCCTCCCACCACACGCCGAAGCCTGACAGTGATGATATGTGCGCACTCCCAATAACACCTGTCGGAATCCGATGTGGCCCCCGTGTTTGTCCACCACATCCACCGCGTGGCCCCTTTCAGCGGGCAGAGTATACACCAACACACACAGTGATCTTCATTTCAGCTTATGCCGTAAGAAGTATTTGGAGGATTTACTTGCTCAAAAGTTGTACAGGAGGCATAACGGTGCGTACACAGGACGAAGGCCATGTTCCTGTTACACTACAAACATTGCAACTTCAAGTCTGGAATGTGAAAAAAAGTTAATGTTAGCAATTTGCATAGCAGGGCGGCCATTCAAGAGCCTAGGACTGCGATAGCGAAACCACCGCCCAAAGAAAGCACACAAGCAGAACCCTAAAATTCACCTTGGACTCGGAAGCCATTCTCGAGAGAACGTATTAAGCAATTCTGCTGGCAGTTATAACTACGCAGACGCCTTTCGTGCAGGCGCGAATCAGCGTCACTGGCTGATAAGGTATGAACTTTCGTGAGTCTCTAAGATCTCAGACCTGACTTCACGGCCTAACCGAACTGTCCCTCACCTCACCCATTGCCTACTGCATCGCCCGTTAGGACAAATTCAGGTCAGTCGCACTTCCCGTGCAAAGACTGTGCGAGAGATGAGGAGGTCGAATTCTGATTGGTCGATCAGAGTAGGCGATTGTCATTAAGTCTTTCGCTACACAAACCGAACTCAGCATGAACGCCAAAGACACGGGCACGTTAACCTGGCTTTAATGACCGATAATGCCAGCAACAAGAATTGCCACTTTGTACAGTAATGCTACTCCCAGTTTTGGGCAGCGAGTTCAACTGCTGGAGAGCAAGAATAAGACGTTAAAACAGAGGGCGAGAGAGAGAGAGAGAGAGAGAGAGAGACAGCGAAAAAGGAAGACTAACAAACACTGTGCTGGCAGAAGAAGACGTGATTGCTCGAACAAGAATCTCATCTACCGGACTTTCTGAACTCCCACTAGGACTCATTAGCAGAGAAAGCAATGTGCGCACAAGGTATGCAGTGATTTATCGGATGTTGTTGCTATGCCACCGCATAACTATCCTATTTAGCCGCCACCCTCCCGCACTCATCGACGAGGGTGGTATTTGGTGCAGGAACTGCTTCATCTTCTGTATCAGCAGTTCGTATGTGTGGTGCACCTCGGGTGTGACGTCTCTAGGGGGCCCACAAGGGTGTCACTGCAGCGCAGTAAAAGCATTATCTGCAGAAGACGCTCACAGCAACCGCGAATGCAGCGGCAGTTAACCATCACGTCATCGTCGTCCACATGTCAAGGACCTCGACCCGCAGGTCTCAGGTTACACCCCAAGGTCACACCCTCCCATGCGCCACACACCGCGAACAACACCGCATGTTTACGCAAGACAAGGAAAGGCCTGAGTGCACCTTGCAGGTGTGCTCTTGGGGAGCAGGAGGAAAGGGGTGTGTCCCGATGCTCTGAACTGCAAAAACCGGGTGAACAGCAATTTTCAGCAGAATCGACTTTGTGTAGGGAGGAGGAGAGTGGGGAACGTAGTCTTTGGCAAGCGATAGAGTTGCAGCCGGAAGAGCGTTTTGAGTTCATGGAGCTTCGAGAGTAGTTAGAATAATCTTCACCCATGAGGGGCAATATCTAGGAATTGGGTTTTTCGCAGCAGACTGTGGCTCATCAGTCGCACACACGGGTGCCTTCTAGCTCATCACAGGAATTTAATTAGCCTGTGTGCCTGAACTGATGTTCCTTCTCTCCTGTTTATTCGTACCAGGAGGTGATACCATCTCTCAAGTATACCTGCGCAAACTTAATGGCAAAGATGCCCTCTTTACAATTCCTCAGTACAAACAGTGATGAAATCTGCGTCCTCTGCTAGGGCATATTTAATTGAGAACTTTGTTTGCTTTGCACAACAGCCGACTGAAAATGGGCAGCAACTCTCAGACGCAAGGTCGTGTGCTTGTGCATAATCGACCCCTTCCCCTCCCACCCCCGTCCTCCTCCTCCTCCTCCCCCCCCCCTCCGGACAGTCAACGTTGTCAGACAGAGAGCTGAGAGAATACTCCCGATTACAGGCTGGAAGCTCTGCCTAGCGAGAGGAGACAGCAACAACCAATGGAAATCGCGATAAGCGCGTCCACACAGGAACCACTGCTGAAAGTAACAGTTCGACCGTCGTGGCCGATGATGTCCACCTCGTGCCTCACAGCAGGTTGAGGGCAGGCACAGTGACTTGCGCGGGACTTATAGTGAGGATGGACTTGCGCTGCATCTACCACATTTTCTCCTCCTCACGAAGTCTTGGCCCGATATATAGGCATAGTCAAGAACACCGGAAATAGGCGAGGGCAAGGGTGAATGATGGTGGAGATGCGTTCACCGATCGTTCTTACGGAACTCACTCGTTCCGTTGTGCCTTATGGACTCTCGCTCTCTCGAGCCCAACCAGCGGCC